TACACGCTGCCCGTAAGCAACAGATCGATCGCCTCTGGCCGATGCAACTCGACGGCGTCATTAGAGCATGTCACAGCTGCATTTTTGGCCTTCCAAACAAAAGGTCCCTCTCAATATGCCGGAGTCACTTATCAATGACACCATGCAGACTTGCTCGATGGCGGCGGCCCCTTTTTTCCACCTCCTGGTGCGAGCCGGCGCCAAAGACAAAACTGCTGCATCCAAGCAATGGATCGACGCCAAGGATCCACTGATCATTGACGGGCAACACACAAATCGACGGTTGGTGTCCAGGACGACTGACTGCGTTCGACGGCGGCGGTTGCTTGCTTCAGACGGGCTCAAGACACGGGACATTCCGACGGATGCAGCCCAGATATGTCCCCGGCGACAAACATCTTGTGGGTTTCTAGTTTCGCGCCATTTTGTGAGGCATTTGGAGTGTCTCTCGCTCTCTTTCCTCCGTGCTCTCCTCATGTAATGTCCGAGGCTTGGCCCCGCTGACTTCAGACGTGAATCCATAATCCATCGTCCATCGAAGCGTCTGAACAACCCCTTTCATGATCGACATGACAAGCAATCGCCGAGCATTGAGCCAGAGGAAACCTCGCTCGCATTGACCATTGATGCTTGACGATTGGCCACTGACGATGGACAAAGAAGGAAGAATACCCATGGTCATTCCCGTCCATGGCAACTGGAGCCTGGCCTTGACCCTTTTTCCTGCAAGTCTGTGACAGTTTCGTTCCATCGCAGCCGAGGGCCCCACCCCGGCAGAAACAGCAGAGCCCGCTTCTTCTTGCCCCGACGTGAGGTTGTCTGAACGTCAAAACGGTTTCAAGCAGCTTCAAACGAGCTTTTCCACCCGCGTGCATGCCCATGTCGGCCCATTGAAAATGCCACTTCGCGACCGTGGGAATGAAACTCCCCTCTCCCAATGATACGAAAAAAGTCCGAATGGCATGCTTTGCCTACCTTTCGCCAAGCACGTCCGGTAATACCTGCTTCAGGTCAAAACTTGAGGCAAGGGAGGTCGAGCCGACTCCATCCTCCGTCGTCGCAGATCCCTCGCTTTCGTTCGTTGATGTCATGTTGCCTCGTGCCTGGAGAAGAGACAGCCAAAGGAAGATAGGGGATCTACGATTGGCAGGCAAACCCACAAAAAAGATGGGCTGAGATGTGGTTGAGGCTATTCGCACTAGCAACCCGCCCGAAACGTCAGTAACTCGGGCCCTTTCCTGCAGAGGACGGTCAATGGCAGCACAACCACCGCAACCGCAACCTCGCTGCTAGGTTATCCGTCGAGGGCTTTCCGGCTGGCCCGCGAAAGTTCCAAAATAAGCAGTCCCATCCAGGGCAGAAAAAGACAGAGACAGAGGAGTGCTGGCCCGCGGGCTGCTGCAGGCTGCAGCGTTCTTCTTCCGGCTTAGTCCCTGTAGGGCGGCGCAAGAGAGGTCTGGACCGGCCGACCTTGTCCTCGACTCCCTCGTCAACGCGGCGGGCCCAGAGGAGCGGTAGGTGCTAAGAGGGCGTGCTAGGCAGAGCTGGGAATGGTAGACGAGCACGCGACCAGGCAGCCGGTTGGGTTGGGTGTAGTGTACCTACTTTACGGCGCGGAGGCGGAGGCGGTGTTCCCTTGACCGTTGTGTGCTGCTGCGCAAAGTGTCAAGGGAGGGGAGGGGTTGGGTTGGTGAAATTTCCCGCGAACGCAATGCGCAGCACGGCGTTGTATGAAGAGCCAGTGGGATGCCGTGTAGCGTATTCCGCAATATGGGAAAGAAGAGGGAGTCCAGGCCAGGCCCCCAGGGAGCAGCCGTAAACAAGCTTTGAGCTACTGCGGGGCCGGTCTTCTTGTTCTTCATTTACAGATTAAAACAGATATTCGGGCCCCAGAGGAGCTGCGATGATTGCTTCTGGAAGTCGTTCGTATTCCGCGGACCCTCGAGGGCGCATGGCGGGAACGGTGATGCCGGTGCCCTCTTTGGGCCAAGCGAAGGGTGCTGACATCGAGAAATCTAAAGTGGCGGGGTGGAACTCCGTTCTAAGGGTCCAATGGGCAACATCTCAGCACACGATAGTCGGGCGACGATGGCTGTGCTAGTGGACCATGATCACCGTGATCAATTATGGCGGATGGTTCGTTGTTATGCGGTTCGTGGTGTTTGGCTGGATTGGTTGTCTCCGAGAATCTGGGGGGAGGCCGCGGGCCGCGATGGCAGACACGTTCCCTTGGGTTTAGATTCTTTACGGATACCAAAGTGAGGTAGTGTAGATTGAGTTGTCAATCATTCCGGTTGACATTGGCCCTGCATTGCCCGGAAAGTCAGGATGGAGATGGGACGACTACGACGACTACGACCACGAAGACGACGACGACGACGATCGATTGACTTTCGCGTCGTCCGCGCAAGCTTTTTGGGTTTCGACATAGTACAGGACGAAAAAAGAAGTTCCCGAAGCTTTGGCATCCCGCGGACCCGGGCGAACCTCCATCGTCGTCAATTGCGCGTCACCACCATCCCGAGTCAAACCAAGAGCAGCCGTGTGTTCAGAGTTGAGATGGGCGAGGCGGATGAGACAACGCAACACATACGTCTGTTGCAGGCAGGCAGGCATCCGTGATTCCTAGATTTAGGTGCGTTTCCGTAATACCCGACTCCCGACTCGGGCAAAAGTTAAGCTTGCTGGCAGAGGTGAGAGCTGCAGAGTTGCACGCGGGAGCAGTGTTCTCTACGATTGGCTCTGTCTTTTCCAGGAAGCACGGCGGGTGCCGCTCCTCTCGGCCACCGAATAGCGAGCCAAAAAGGTCCCCAAAGCGGTTAGTGGCTCGGGCGGGAGACCCCTGCCAACCTGGCCTGACTCGGGCCCGTCCCCACCAATCTCCTTTCCCCGTCTGTGCACGCTCCCTTTTTTTTTTTTTATTGGGTGAGCTGCATAGCACCTGTTCAATTAACCACAGTGGCCAGCCTTGCGCGCCCTCGCTCCAACTTCACTCCATCCGCGACCGCGAGGCTGAGAGGGTCCGACGCCTCGATGCCAGCAATCCCGCCCATCACCGACTCACACGGCCATTGAGCGCTCGCACTGATCTCGTGTCTCTCTTCTCCCCAACGCCGTGTCCGGCGGCACACGCCTCAATGTCCCCGACAACCCCGACGGACTACAATGCCCCTCCGCCCCTAACCCGCTCCTCCACCCTCCCCGCCGGCCTCAACGGCACCACCAACATCACCACCACCACCAACGGCGCATCCTCCACGACCAGCTCCAGCGTCACCCCGACGAACCTCCAGCCCCAGAACCGATCCCACCTCGCCCCCGAAGATGCCTTCCTAGCGACCTCCCCTCCCCGCCGCCCCGTGCAGTCCTTCCCGGACGCCGGCGTCGGCGCAGACCACCGCGCCGCCCGCGCCCGCCTCCGTCACAACGCCGGCGGCCGCAACAGCATCGACCCCCTCGCCGACGGCATCCAGCACCGCTCCCGCTCCCGCCGCAGCCGCAAGCGCACCTGGAAGAAGCTCATGTGGGTCAAGCAGAGCTACCCGGACAACTACACCGACCAGGCCACCTTCCTCGAGAGCCTGCAGCGCAACCCGCGCCTGCAGCCCTACGACTTCTGGCCCCTGGTCGCCGACTCCACCGTCATCGTCCAGCACGTGTGCTCCGTCATCGTCTTCATCGTCTGCTTCGTCCTCATCTTCCAGGAGCGCGTCTCGCCCGTGTCCATCGTCTCGTGGGGCAGCCTGGCCACGCTGCTGGGCTGGCTGCTGTGGGAGCGCTGGGAGGCCGACGAGGAGCGCATGGCCGTCGAGCGCGGCGTGAACGGCGTCGTCGAGCCGGGCGTGGTCACGAAGCGGAAGGAGACGGTCAGCCGGAGGACGGGGAGCATGCCGCGGCGTCCGCCGTCGCAGGTCGACGAGTCTTCCGCGGCCACCACGGCCACGAGCTCCGTGACGAACCTCTCCACGAGCGCCGAGCGTCTGCCGCGGCACTCGCACTCCGCCTCCGCGAGCTCCCTCATCTCTTCCACCTCGGCCACCTCCCAACCCGCCTCGTACCGCCGGCACAGCCAGGAAGTGGTGACGGGCAGCAGCAACCCGCCGCTGCCGCGCCGCGCCTCCTTCCCGCTGCCCGGCGACGACACCTCCCGCGTTCACCAGCGCTTCGGCACCATCAAGAGCGCCATCCTCATCTACTCGACGCTGCTCGGCCTCTCGCCCATCCTCAAGTCGCTCACGCGCTCCACCTCCAGCGACAGCATCTGGGCCATGTCCTTCTGGCTGCTCGCCATCAACATCTTCTTCTTCGACTACTCGGGCGGCGTGCGCGTCAACATCCCCGCCTCGCTGTCCACCAACGCCGCCCTCATGGCCTCTACCGTGCTCGCCAGCCGGCTGCCCTCCACCGGCCAGGTTTTTAGTTTGACGCTCTTCAGCATCGAGGTGTTTGGCCTGTTCCCCGTCTTCCGACGCTACGCGCGCCACCGCAGCTGGGGGTACCACTACGCCATGACGGTATTTCTCGTCCTCGGCGCGGGCGCGGGCGTGGGCATTATTCTCGGGGACCACAACGGCGCCGGCGGGTGCTGCTGGCCGTGGAAGAGCGCGTGTATTGGCATGGTTGTTAGCGTGCTCATTGCGGCGATTGCGATGGGCGGGTGTAGTTGGTGGCTGATTGGGTTGCAAAAGTACAAGAATGAGATTTACGGCCCGTGGGACCCCGCGAGGCCTATTATTATGAGTCGACGACTGTGGGACGATGGTTGAGAGGAGGAATTTGATGATTTGATAGATATGAATAGAGTGGTTCTAATAATGCGTGACCGATAGCTAGTCTCTATCCTGGTCTTCGTCTCTTGGCTTCCGGGTATGCGTGATCGTGACAATATTGTACAAACCGGACACCACATTCCAAACCAGGTCCCACATGGCCATCACAGCTACGAAGTGATAAAGTCCCCGCGCCAGCTAAGACTCAAAAGATGAATCGGAGCCAAGACCTCATGCTACTGACTCTTTCGCCGTGGCCGTCGCAACTTCTGCCTCGGTAACAGGTTTCTTCTCCTCGCCCTTCTCGTCCACCTCGCTTGTCTTCGCCGGAGGAGAGCGGGCGTGACGGATCCCATAGTGGTTCAACACGCTATCCAGCACACTGTCCAACACCAAAAACACCACCACGAAAAACCCAACCTCACGAACCTGCCCCCACCGCCGGGCCCTCGACTCCTTCTCCCAGGCGGCGGCCCTCTCCAGTTCCTGGACGTACTCCTCGCATGTCGGCGCGCTCTCGCGCAGATCGACTGCGACCAAGGGTTTGCGGCGGATGAAATCCAGGACGCTCTGGGTTGTGTCGCGTCCGGGGGCGGTGTAGCCTAGATCCTTGCGGTGTGCTTCGATCTCTCTTTGGAACTGCTCCTTCGCTGCGTCCAGCTTCCTCTGGGTTTCTGTTTGGAGGGCGAGGCGGTGCGCTTCGTAGGCTTTTTTTGTGGCTTCTAGGGCGTCTCTATTGCCGAGCCGCTCGCGGGATGTGTTGGGTGCTTCGGAGGAGAAGTTTTGTCGTCTGAGGAGAGATTGGAAGGCGGTTGATGAGTTGAGTGTAGGTGTGCGGGATGGGACCCGGGGTCTGTAGATGAAAGCCCGGCTGGTGATGGTTTTGTTGATGGCTCGCTGGGAGCCGCGGAGCAGACTTGAAAACATTGCTGCGGTGGGCTATGATCGTTTTTTTTTTCTGATGATCTGTGATGTTGTGGTTTGGATGTCATACTTTGCGTTCAGAGGTTGATGATGGGGTTGTTATATATCTCGTTGGGACCTTGAGGTTGCTCGCACCTGACAATCGGAGAAAACAGGAGTAGAACCTTGCGACGTTCTTTGTGAGCACGAAATGTAATAGTTACTTGTTTTTTTTAAAAATAAAAAATAAAAAAAGAAGGAAAAAAAAAACTAAAAAGTTTTTGTAGATATAAATGAGCAGAGTACGTTCTTACTATCATATATGGCGTCTGGGATGAGTTGAATGGTGTTGCTGTTAACCTAGTAGTACATGCCTCCTCGTCAATTGGCCCAAAAGAAGTTTCTAAATTTCAATGAGGTCCTGCTACCTTTCGTATCCGACTTCTCGTCCGGCGTACCCAACTCCTCATCCTCCTCATCCGGCTTCCGCCGAGGATAGAACGGAACAGGAGTCAATTTCCAGATTATGACATTGACCAGAATAAACCCCAGTAAGAATTTGCGAAACTCGCGATCCTGCAAGTCTGTGAACATGTCGTCAAGTCGTCCTACGATGTCGAGTCTAAATGGCCGCCGTCTCGGAATACCGACTTGTCCTCTGTTTGCGGTCGTGTTGACACGGTGCACGGCGTAGGTTTTCCTGGTGATTTGCAGGGTGGGTTCTTTCGTATTAGGCGGGTTGTGGGATGGCGATGCATTGCGTGGTCTAGAAGAGAATGGTTGGTGCCTGGTGAGGATTTGGAACGCATTGGATGAGGTGGTAACTGGGCGTGGCAACTGGGCCAAGGGGCGGCTGACAAGGTTTCTGGTGATGGCTCTCTGGGAGCCGCGAAGTAGACATTGAAACATTGTTTCGGTGGGATGTCGAAGACGAAAATAGGTAGGGACGATAATCAGATACGACAGTTGAGTATGAATGAGTCTGCGGGAAGAGTTTTCTACACGGGAAAAATAGGGGTTCTTTTGAGTGAGTAATTGGGACATTGAGGTTACTCACACCTGACCGTCAGAGAAAATGGAAACCTTGCGTTTTCTTAGGCCCCCCCTTTTCGAGCAGCAAGTATGGAAGCACCCTGATTTATTTTGTTTTCTGCGTGTAGATGGGTGAGTGGAATACGCTCATTGTTACAAGCTGCGTCTAAGAGGGGCTGAAAAGTGCTACTGTTCCTAGTTCTATACACGTCCTTGTCTCCAGAGGTAGCCTAAGGGCCGCTCACGAAACGATATCTGGATCTGTCTTTGATGTAGGGCTGTTGTCTGGTGTAATCTCTTCCGCCGTCTCCTTCTCCTGCTTGTTGGGCTTTTTGGGGCCTGACATCGCACCGACGAAACCAATGACAATGATCGCCAAGGCCAGCGTCCAGAACCTGTATCTCTTCTGCTTCCGAATTATCTCCAAATCCATCTTGATTTTATCCAGCTTCTCGCTTATCTCGCGCAATGCCTTCATTATCTCGCGTAGATGCTTCTTTCGTTCAGGTCTTGCTGCAACGCGGCAAATGATGCCTCTTTGGGTGGTGCTGTCGCCCTCATTGTTGGCTCCGTCCCCCCTGTTGACGTCGGCATCATTGTTGACAGTGACTTTGCTTTGGTAGGAATGTTTTCTGGAGCTAGCAAGTAGTCTGAAGGCTGCGTATAATGGTTGACTTTGTTGTGATTGCCGGATCGATGCCTCTCGATAGAACGTTGGTGTTTGGCGCGATGCGCTTGGCCGGGCAAGGGCGGTGAGGGCGCGTTGGGAGCCGCGAAAAAGGTTTCGAAACATGACTCTTGATTTGGAGCTTTAATCCGGGTGTATACTGGTGTGGTTCTGATCACTGTGCCTCGAATGGGGATGAATGCCGTGGCAATTTCAAGATCATAATCATGCCTTAGGTAGTGAGAAGAAAGCGTGAAGCTCACCAGATACACAGCTTTGTCATTTACCATACGAGGTCCGGTGGCAACAGTTTCTTGTTTTTATTTCTTTCCTTCGAGGTCGAGCAGAGCAAATGGTAGGGAAATATCGGAGACAACACAATAGAAAGTTTCTGTATTATTCGCAGCGTATGGACCTATGCCAAAGGCGTCCCACGCCTCCGGTCGTCTCCGTCCCTCCGAAACTCTCCATCATAGAGCGCCTAGATCCACCTATTGACACCGTGAGGGTAGGCCGAGCCAACATACGACTCTCCCTGGCATCCCGATCGGCAAGGGCCGGAGGAGTCAGTATTCCGTCCGCAGGAACTCGCGTTCGATTTTTTGTTGCTCTTGTCCTCTTTCATCGCCTCTCCCATACAAGCGTAATCCGATTTATGGTTGTTTCGTGGCTGACCGTTTTTGATAATCTTTTCAAGGCAAAATGTCGTCAGGTGGTAACCTCCGAATAAGCCCACGACGAAAATGGCGCCGTCTAGAGCCCCCCAACCCCAGCGTTGTTTGATGTTCATGGCGTACAAGACATTTCTGTCTGTTTTTAAGTTGGACTTCGCGGAATTCTGTCCAGGTTTGTGGTGCCTGGGCCGAGGTTGAGGCGCAGGAGTTGTGTGAAAGTAAGTGGCCCGGCGCAAGGGAAACTTGGGAGTAGGAATTTTGTGCCCAGAGCCCCTGATGACGACGTCGGTGACGACTCGAAGCATTTTGAGGGTTTTGTTTTGATCTGAGAGTGGGTGATTTTGTGTGGTTGGCGGGTCTTGACTTCAGAACGTGATGAAGTGTGGTGGCGTGTTGTCTTGTGTTAATTCAAAAGTCGTGAGATATCTACCACTGCAAGTGTTTGTTGATCATTACGAAGATAAAATCCAATTCAAGACATGGCGTTGGATCTCTGACATCGTTGGAGCTCTGCAGTTTGCCCCGTTGGTGCCGTCCATAACCATAAAAGGTGTGAAGTTTCCATCCATGTTGGACATCAAGCTTGTTTTCTGGCGCCAACTTTTGACTTCGCAGTGGATTTACAAAGAACCTGAAATTTTTGGTTTCCAAATCCTCTTTCATTTTCAACTCCATCGAAGAACCGTCCTATATCGAAAAAAAATCAGAAACCATGTCGTTGCAATCCTGCGGCATCGCCTGTAGGCTCTTCAGCCTCATGGCCAGAAGCCCTCTTACATCTAGATTGCGCGAACAGAGCGGCCTGGTCATTACTCGCCTCCCTGCATCAATCTTCCACCCTCCTCTTTGGGGTCCCTCGGCAATCGTCAGAGCTCTCGCAACAACAGCACCCCGCGAGGCGGCTGACAGCCCCATCTCGACCCTCATCCAAAAGCTCCGCAACGAAGTCGACACCGCCCAGGCCCAAAACAGAAACCTGGTAGAGAGGCTTCAAAAAGCCGACAATGCGAACAGACGACTGTCCGTGAAGCTGGAATAGTCCGACTCGGAGAGACGCATCGCGCAGATGCGGTACGAGAAGATGAGCGAGCGGCTGACGGAGAACAACAAAACCATGGAGCGATGGCAGCAGCGGAATGTTCGTTTCCAAGAGCAGCTTGAGACTGAGGCAAATAGGAACCATGAGAAAGCCAAGCGCGATTTTGAGAGGAAGTGTGAAAACAACTTGAAGTCGTACTTGAAGCTCGCGGAGAGCAAGGATGCCCAGATTCGGGAGCTAGAGGGCATGAAGGGCACGGCCTGGGTGGTTGCTGCATTGATCAAGGTTGTTGGGGGAACCATTTGCATTGGAATCATTCTACGTTTTATCTTGTTCGCGGGTTTGGTGATTGAGGAGGATGTGAGGAAGGCGAAGATGGAGAATAAGAACGTGTGAGATCGGAGTGGTGTAGGTTGAAGGCCGTTTCCGATCGATGCCATTTTCACTGTGCTATAGAAACAATCTTTCATTCACTTGCAATAAAGGAAGGCGGGCTCTACTACAAGCACTTGCCGTCAAAGACTGCTTTCCTTGCAGGTCTGGTTAGCGTTTCTCACTTTTGATCAGTCGTCTGCTTTCGATTTTGCTTTCTTCCCTCACGCGCATCCTCTCGACCTCACCTTCCCACCCGCGACCTATGGCTCCCATTTTCCCACCCTGCCCTTACCTTTTCCTCTTTTCCCGCCTGCCCGAATCCTCGCGTCCCTTTTCCCGGATCTTTCCTCTTCAGACCGCTCCACCTACTTCTCTGGCTAGTGTTTTGCCCAAGTTACCTTACGGTCACTCTTTCCAACCCAACCCCCATGGCCAACCGATCCTGAAACATCCAAATCATTTGCTGAAAAATGGACGGAGAAGTCACTACAGCAGTCCTTCCTGGATGGAAAGCCCGGCCTGAGAATCGAGCACAAGCCGACGCCCAACTTCGGAAGCTGCTTGAGCCACGAGAACGCCTGAAGCAACGGGAGCTACTGAGACAGCAGACCGGCACAGACGCGAACAACCAAAGCGATGATTTTGAGATTGACCAACTCGACGGATCTTTGACAGTTCTGTCCGAGCAGCTGTACAACAAAGATATGCACTTCATCCTTGAGCTGATCCAGAATGCAGACGACAACGCATACGGCGCAAGCACCATACCCAGCTTCGGTATGAGACTGGACAAGAATGATGGCGACTGCACTTTTCAGACCGGATGCAACGAAGTGGGCTTCATAGTCCATCAGATTGACGCTCTCTGCAGAATCGCGAGTAGCACGAAGAAGAACGAGAAGGACGTACGTACAGGCTACATCGGCGAGAAGGGTATTGGCTTCAAGGCTGTCTTCAAAGTTGCCGATGTAGTGTACATCAAGAGCGGCTTCTACAGCTTCAAGCTGGACAAACGCAATGGTTTGGTCGGAACACTGCTACCTTTGCCAGCCGATTTCCCAGCGTCAAAGCACCACGAGCACGATCGCTCAGCGACACGGATGACACTGCTTCTCAAGGGAATAGAGCAATACGACAAGATCTCTAAAGAGCTCACCAAGATCAAGCCTGAGATACTGCTTTTTCTGCGTCGCTTGAGATCCATTTCCATGAACAAGGGGCAGGAAACCACAGTTTACTTGGCGATGCACAACGAGCATGAGGAGAAGCTTCAAGGTGAGACCAAGACCATTGACTGCCAGAAGCAAGGCGAATCATTTCGCAACAAGAAGTTTCTCATCACCCGAACGATGGTGAACGACATGCCAAGCGAGGAGAAGCGAGCAGGTATATCCGCATCGGAAATTACGCTTGCGTTTCCCCTGAACAAGTACGGCCAGCCGGAATTCCATCCACAGCATGTCTTCTCGTTTCTAGCTGTCGCTTGCCATGGATTCCCTGTAAGATGATCTGGACCACTATCTTCTACTTACAATTGACATTCTTTCAGTTCTTGATCCAGGGAGATTTTATTCTACTTGCTAGCAGCGAGGGTCTTTCAGCGGGAAATGCCTGGAATAATAAGCTAAGAGATGCCATTCCGGCAGCCTTTCTGCAGGCAGTTGATCGTTTCAACAAGATTGAGGGATGTCTTCGTTACTCGTTGCTACGCTACTTGGAATACAACGTTTCCTACGACCCATTCTGGAAAAGACTTGACGACCAGCTCACTCCTCACCTCCGACGCCATCCAATCCTTCGCAACAGATTGGGGCATACCCGAAAACCTGCAGACCTAATCTTCATCCCAAAAGAGTACCGATTGGAAGGCGAGCCTCTTCTCGACTTTTGTTCTGAATGGCATCTTGCTTTCGAACCTTTCACATGACGTCACGTGCCTCACAAGTAGTCTTCGACGCCTTGGGGTTTCGATGATGAACGACGAGATGTTCGTGAAACATTTCATTCAGTGGGTTACTGAAAGACAGACCTCTACCTCTGAGATGGGAGAGAAATCCTACGAATGGCATGAGCGAACGGCACAGATTTTGGTCAAAGTCTACTCATACAGGAGAAAGTTGCGGTCGCTGCCAATAATACCGACACTTTATGGAGAATTTGTCCCGGCGTCCTCCGAGAACCTGTATTCTGTGTCTGCAAACGATGCATGGACTGCGCCCTCCAGTCTCGGGCTTCAATTTGTTGACCCGATGGCAAACGAGAATACACACCGTGCTCGTCTTTTCCGAGAATTAGAAATCAAGAGCATTGATGCCGCCAAAATTTGCTACAAAATTCTTGGACTGCATCGAGAGCAGAAGCCACGGGAAGCAGACAGAACCAGCCTCATCGAAGAGGCTGTTTATTTGTTCCTGAACTGGAAACAGACCAGAGGAGTCACCTCCTGGAGTCGCATTTGGCTGGTGACTTCATGTGAAGAAGTCACACGTGCTTCAGACATCTTTCTAATCGGCCCCGATAAGTCGTCGCAAATCATCAAAAAATATCAGCATATTCCTGATGCTGGTATCAAAGTCATTCATCATGATTACTTTGAACAACTCAAGCAGACTCAACAAAACTCTGGCGCCAAGGTCGCTGCAATTGCCACAGAACCCGAAAGTGGCGAGACGGAAACCTCGGCGAAGACAGACCCCTTTCATCAGTGGCTAACAGGGAAAGACTTGTGTCAGCTGGCAACAAGGCCAAGGCTCACCTTTTACCACCGGGATTCTAACGAAGACAGATTAACAAGAGAACGGAAGTGGCTAATCAAGCATGCCGTGATGGATCTAGTCTTGCTGATGAGGGACGATTGGGCGCACTACGCCGCCAATCAACGTACTTTGATACCAGCGGCCAAAAAGCTGCTTGTGCCTTGCCGAGATGGGAAAGTCCGCGAGCTGCAGGAGACCGCTATACCGTCAAGTTCGCTCCTCGAAGCGTGCCCTCACATCAATTTTGCAGACATTTCCGAGCCAAACAACGACAAGTGGTGCTTTTTGTCGAACTTCTCGGTTATTGTGGAGGCCAAAGACCAGGCACGCATCCGCGAGCTAGAAGTGCTGCGCCGCATCACATCTCTAGAGAACGCCTTGGAGAAGATCCAGCCCATTTACGAGTATCTGGCCAAGAACAGATCAATGATGTTGAATTCAACCGTGTAAGAACTTTTCTTGTCCCAGATTGCGCCAGCTAACGACGTCAGGGAATCTTTCGAATCAAGATGTCTGGTTTTCCATCCAGACCAAGGATGGGTAACGCCAAAAGATTGTGTATGGAAGAGTCCTGCTGTATTCAAACGTACTCGAGCACTTTGCGAGGTACATCCTGATTGTGACGGTCTCTTCCAAGGTCGACTGGGAATCAGAGATGCTGGGATGCGTGAGGTAATCCAAGAGCTGGAAGCCTTCAAACATTCAGGTCAATCTGAAGATACAGAAGCACTGAAGAGCGTGATTCTCCTTCTCAGTGAGTATCTTCAACAGCAGAAACCAGCTGATGCAGAAAACGATGCCGGACTGCGAGAAAGAATCAGAAACCTGAGTATCTTTCCGGTTATCTCGGATACTCATTCCTCGGACCAGCAATCGGTTGTCATACTTCGGTCGCTCGCAGATGATTGGTACATTGCAGATCAAAGTGGATTGAGGAGCTCCTTTCTGGGACGAGTCGAGCTTCTCGACTTTGATGTTCTGAAAGAGATTGACGAACTTCTCCCTTTGATCAAATGGCTTGATATCGACTGCCTTCTATTGAGCACAGCGGTGAAGGAGTCGAGCAGTACTATAGGCCCAGCTGTGTTAATCAACGATTGGTCTCAATCTCTTCAAAGGAGAGCAAAATTCGCATCCTTGTACGTCCATCCTCAAAATTGGGATGCTATTTCTTCGCGATACTGATCATTCAATAGGCTTGGAAACAACACGGACGGTTCTACGAGCGAGAATGCTCCAGTGTATCGACTTTCGCAAGTCTCGAGCATTGTGGTTCGTAGGAAAGTTGGACAGATCCATGGTTTATCTGAAGACGGTAAAATTCTCATCGAGCAGACGGATGGCTTCATTGACGTGTATGTCCTGCGCGATCCGTTCGATAACCAGGATAGACGGGTCAGTCGGGAGCTTTCGAAGCTCTTCATCGACCAATATCAAATCACCAAGCCAGAGCATGTCACGCAGCTTCGCGACATCCTGGGCGCGAAGCTCAGCGAGATGGGAGATCTGCTGGAAGAGGTTGGCATCCGGTGTCCTTGGTCTGAGGAGACTCCTGAGGAGACCAACACTCAGTCGAGAACGGTCAATGTCGCCACTGTTTCGCCGGCGACATCAACAGCGGCAAAGAAGGTTCTTCAGTCTGTCAAAGTGATTGGCCGGACTCCGTCTGCTTTCTCATCAAGGCCCAATGGACATAACAGTACTGATCGAGACCGCTTCAAGGAAGTTGGTGTACTTGGAGAAGCTTGGGTAAATCAGTACTCCTAGACGATGAGAGTTGATGGAAGCTGACGATGTTGTAGATGAATGAGTATTTCAAGAAGCGGATTTCGGACTGGGACCCAAACCTACATTGGACAAGCAAATTGCGAGTCGAGAAGGGCTATTCAGACTTCGAGGGCGATGAGTCAAAGACAGCAGATTTCAAGTATATGGACGAGGAGGGCCGCATGCTTCCTGTCATGGGTCTTCCTTCTCCTGCTCAAGATTGGGGAGATAAGCACATCACATACCACATAGAGGTAAAGGGGACGGTCCTTGGAAACAGTGAGCCATTCCATATGAGCCAGCATCAAATGGATTTGGTAAGTACCTTGCGTCTTAGTTGATTCAAGGCTTTTGGCGCTGACTCTCGCAGGCACTCAAGTACTCGAAGGCTGTCCCCAAGGATATTTACGTGATCGCTCGTGTCTACCATCTGCGCGCGATCACCAGAGTCAGGTTCCACATCGACGCTTGGCGCTATATTAGCGCAGGCAGACTCGAACTTAGAAATGAAGGCTATGAAGTCACACCTGCGGAAGAATGAGATTGCGGGCGGGTGCATAGGAAAGGAGTTGGCTATGGATTGGTCTGGCTGTGTCTCTTGGAGAGTGCACATGAATGTTGGAGATGGACAAATACCTTGTTGAGATAGACTTTCACTTCTGAATTGATTGGTCTTTAGAAAGCGGCATAGAATATGCTTTGATGTGTTGTCAGATTGTCTGAACCCTACAGTTGACTAATTGACAGTAGTTTGTCGTGGGGCTTCAACAGTAGAAAACATTTCGCCCCGTTCAAGCGCCACTCCGGACTGCGTTTGAATATCTATGCGATACGTGCTATGCTCGAAACCATACGTTTGCCACCTCATGAGCCACCCGTCATAGTCAAGCCCCCGAAATTGAGCTTCACTCGTTTCTTCTCTTCGACCCAGGAAGCTCAATCCGCGTTGCAAGTATCAACGGAATCTGACAACCAACGGCTGAAGTCGGACGTGATCCATTCCATTATGAGGTTGGGGCATGTGCTTCGCATGTAAATGCCGGCTCAGTCACGAGTGCTCCCGATACTGAAAGGCCCGTGGATAATCGATTATGTTGAGTTTGGCTAGCAAAAATTCACAACCTTACGTAGTAGAAAGGGAAGTCGACAGACAAGCGTGTCTTCTACGTCCTCTGCAAATTTACGAAAGAAGGAAGAAGATTGCAAGTATGAATGCCTGACGCGTTCTCCGAGAGGGGGATGTAACGCATCAACGACAACGAGAGGAGACGAGTTCGTCGACTCAGCAGCTGCACTTTCACCTTACGCAAATATCAAGTCTTCTGTTTTTCTCTTATCACTCTCTAAGGCTGAAAAGCCCTTCTCAGCATGCAACTTAATTATTTGATATAAGTTTAGATCCTTGGTAGTTTAGATTTTGCTTCACAAATTACTTATAATATATGTGAAGAGAATAGATACAACAATTATAATGAGGACAATAAGGATGATGACGAGGAGGAGGACGACGGCAACGACGACAAGGACGACGGCAACGACGACGACAAGGACGACGACAAGGACGATAATAATAAGAAGTGTCCCAGTGCATAGATCTAGCTGTTTTTCAAACGATTAACTCGCCGAAGCTTCTCTACACAGTCCGATTCGTTTGAAACTGCTTAAAGCAGGGTTAGTGTCTTCTCTAGGCGAAGGTATAGCACTTATAAAGATGAGAAAAGCTATATGCTTTAAGCAAGTGAGACCTCTCGCCTTCGTGAGCAGTGGTTAAATAATAAATTTGGTGAGCAGTTTGCACTGTCATCTTCTTTGAGAAATTCCAATTCTAGCACTCACAGGCACTCAAGCATTCAGTGCTGTTCAACAGGGACCCTACAAGCATTTTCATCATTGCTCGCATCCACGACTTAAGAGCGCAAACCTACCGTCAAGTTTTACGTCAATTCTTAAGAACTAATCTCCAAAGGTCAGTCGATAATGGATGGCAGAAGTACGGAATTGCGCCTGCGAACGGGTGAGCTTGCGCGATGGGTCCATGGGAAGCGTGGAGAGAGACTGAAATGTGGAAGAGGGATAAGGACTTTGTTGAGATACGCTATGGCTTCTTGTTTGCTTCTAAATCAATTAATCTTCAGAAGCGGCATTGATCATGCTCGTGATATCACCTCTGGTGGCCTAAGTCCTACAGCTTCACAACTCATGAGTTTGTCTGGTTCATGAGCTTCTCCCGGAGACGAAGGCCCGAAAGCTCCCGGGGAACGTTGTAGAAGAAACTGGATCCAGCCAACCAACGCAACCACGCCCGCACATGTGAGAGCGCAAGCGATTTGTGGAGCTTCGGGTCTGGCTCGCTGAAATTGCAGTGAGGACGGAGACGGAGAAAAGGGCGTCCATGCCGGGGGGGACGTCTGTCATGTCGGGGATGGTTGTGTTTGTTGCGGGGAGCCGCAAGGTGACAAGGTCTCCCAAGGGCCCAGGCACACACAGGCGGCGCCCGCCTGCAGGGTGGCAGTTCCCAGCCAACGGGCGAGGATCAGAGCTCGTGTCGGGTGGAGAATGCGCGCAGCAGCGATCGGCAGAGCGATGCAGGAACAATTCCTGGGGTGAAAGAGACTCTTGGGTCACAGGTGATGTTGACGGGTGGTGGTGTTATTCATAGAAATCGGGTTTCTCCTGGCCTTGGTCAACATTCAATTGAGTAAGAGTATCAGCTGAAGATTTCTTCCGCCTCAGGCTGTGTGAGACAACAGAGAGGAAAAACACCCGAATGATAAGGCGGTTCCCAAGGTTCAATGTTTTTGTTTTTTTAACCTTTTCAGTGTATGATTAAAGTCTCCATCTGGTAGGCCGGGTTGTCCGGTGGTCGGCGCTGCAGAGCAGATTGCTGTTGCTTCTTGTTTGACAAGGAAGTCATTACCTCGAACGCGAAACTTTGTTTAAATTGGTTCAATCAGATGTTTAGTCGTGGGTCCCTTTCTTCCTTCTTGAACAGGTCGGCGCTCGGTGCAGCTCTTCCCTCCTCCTTCTCATTGAGGTGGACAGTGCCGCCACCCTTGTCACCTCCAACGCGCCATGTCATGCCAACCCGGCCGGCAGTCAGAGCATCTCCGTCTCCATCTCCCACCTCTCAGCAACCGCTGCTACCGTGATGGCGCCGCGACTCGGCGAGGACACCTGAAATCAAATCACGCTCTGCGACGGCACGTTCAATCCGTACGTAATTTTCCGCTGGGGTGTGGCAAAGATTACTTACTTGTACTAGCACCTAGCTCGAGTGAGGCGTCGATACGGGTGTCTCAGCACAGCTGCAAGCCACCACCAAGCCTCTTCAACGCGTCCGTTGAGCTGCTGGCACGTTCCCTGAGCACCTGTCATCCAATCATACCGCACGGCCGATGCCAATTGCCCGTTGTTATTTGTTCCTCCCGACGAGCAAGCCGTCCGTCCTGTCTGGGACCTGCAGATCAGCTCTAAACGATACCCAAGACATGACATATGAAGCGCGGCCTTCTTTATTTGCGACTCGAGAAGGAGGAAAACACTTCTGTGGCGTTCCATCAGCCAAGTGCCTCAAGGAGCCTGTCGACTCGTCGAGTCAATTGGATGTCACCCTAATGTGCTGCGTGGAAGTTTTTTCCCCAGTTGCCCGTCTCGTTTTGGTCGGCAACCCAGAATCAAGGTTGCATGTTCCTGGCCACCACCCCGGCTGGACCAGTTGAACCGCGAGTCGTCCAGGTCTAGCTCGGTAGCTCTGTGGTGCCGCTGGTGACGACCCCAGCAGAAATGCAAAGCTAACGCCTGGCTAAACCAAACAAGCGTGACGAGCTACCTTGCACACCCTCTCCACCATCCACTTCCCCCAATGACGGCGCGGGCTGTCGGCGCGCATACCTGGGATAAGCTTTGCGAGCCCAGCAGAATTGGGAATTGGACCAGCGAGCCCTCCTGGTCTTAGTCCTTGGAGATGGGCAGGTCTCGGCAGGGGTTCTCCGTACGTGAAAGTGGTGGCTTGAGAGGTGGAAGCGCATATTTATCACCCCCTTCCCGTTCCTCGACTTCTCTGGGCTCTTCTTCACGTCAAGCACCCTAATCCCAACGTCGACCGTCCGTCTCTACAACTTCGTCATCGTACCTGCCGAATCTCGCCTTTCGACTGTCACGTCTTACAACATCAAACAAAATGAAGTTCTCTCTCGCCCTCCTCGCTGCCGGCCTCGTTGCCGCCCAGGACTTCTCCGGACAGCCTGACTGCGCCGTACGTTGCTTTTCCCAACAACCATCTAAACAACAACCCGGCTAACAACTTTGCCATAGATCCCCTGCCTTCGCGATGCCATCCCCAAGGTTGGCTGCGCTCTGACCGACACCGCCTGCCAGTGCGCCTCCGACAAGCAGGAGGCCCTCGTCCCCGTCGCCGCTCCCTGCCTGCTCTCCGCCTGCAGCTCCGCCGACCTGGGTAAGGCCCAGGCCGCTGCCGCCGCCGCTTGCCAGAAGTTCCTGGCCACCGCCAGCGGCTCCACCAAGCCTACCGGCTCTGCCGCCTCCGCCGCGTCCTCCGCTGCCAGCGCTCTCTCTTCTGCCGCCGCCTCCGTCAGCGCCTCTGCCTCCGCTGCCATCACCTCCGCCGCCTCTGTTGCGTCTTCCGCTGCCTCCGTCGCTTCCTCTGCTGCCTCCGTTGCCGCTTCCGCCTCCCGCAACGCAACTGCTTCCAGCACCACCCTCTCCGGCAGCCGCACTCCCTCTGCCTCCGCCACCGGCACCGGTGCCAGCGCTACTGCCTCTGCCACCGGCGCCGCCGGCCAGGCTACTGCTGCCGTTGGCGGTGTTGCCGTTGCCGCTCTGTTCGGTATCGTCGCCGCCCTCTAAGCGCCTTCAGCGTGTGTTGAAGGAATGTCCAAATTGGATTGGGAAAGGGGGTTTTCGTTTCTAGCGCAACAAGACTTGGGATGTGTTGGATGATTTCTACAATTGAACGTTCTAGACTTAATGCGAATTGGACAGGAAACACCAAAAAAGTTTCGTCATGATCACGACCTGTTCTGTTGCCATGGCATCAGCACCTTGTCAGGAAACAGGAGGTGTATATTTAATTGAACAAATCAAGAACCAGCAGCCCTTCCTTCTTTTTGATCGACTTGTGACAAGAGGGACAACTTTTGCATGCCGATTGTGTAGGCGGCCTCTGCAGCCACTCGGGGATTTACTTCGGGAGAGGGGTAAAGGGAACTGAATCAATGCGGGCGCGGGAGGCAAACTCACAACCTTTTCTCTTTCAAGCCTTGATGGCGCAGCAGGTGCCGGCCGATGCCAAGATGACGGACGAAGTTTCCCGCTGCTGACGACATCCGTCCGGTTTGCCTTTGTACTTCAACCTTCCTTTCTTATCAACGGGTTTGCGTCAATTGGTGGTGGGCTGGAGGTGGGGTGGATGGCTGAGGCTTGGGATCCCTGGGGCTGTGGAAGCTTAAACTGCCGTTACACGCACACACACCTCTTTGGGGACTTGTGGACTATGGGAAAGACTTGATTTCCAAGTCATGG